TAGCGTACACACGCCACCAGAGGTCGCCACTTTCAGCATTGAATTTCACACCTTGAACTTTGGGATTTCTACAACATCAAGATTTGGTAATTTGGTTCAGAACATTTCCACGAAAAGACAATCGATTTAAGCCATATCCCTAAAGGTTAGACAGATGAGGAGAATGATGATAGATTCATAAAACTCCGTGGGAGAGTTGTGTCTATCATAGAAGTTGGTAAGCTTCAAGGTAAGAACAGAAAGTGTTGATCTAGAATTAAAATATCAGAAACTAGCCTAGACATCGAGTTTAGATTTATTTTGAGTAAACGACCGTGAACGATTTCGGAAAATACACGGTAAAGGCGACAAAATGAAATTTACTGGGGGAAAAATCCCGAGAATTATTATTTTCCTGGTTTACATTTTTGTTGTTTGAGTACGGTCGTAAGACTTCCCAGCCAACTATTTTCATAATCATGGGGGCAAATCCCCCCCAACCCCGTTACCCGATTTTTGTTAAAAGATGAGGCTAAAATGTTTAAATGTCAGACGCTAGTTGCCCAAGTCAACATTGCACCGGATTTAAATGAAAAGGACCTCTCTAAGCTTATAAAATTAAACCGGAAATTAACAGAAATGATATTGATTTCTTAAAACCATCTTTAAGAAAATCGTCATATGTGGTATGTGAAGTTGTCAGTAAAACGTTACCAATCTTTTCTAGAAATAATACAAATTATTGATTTTGTACTGGAAATTCCGTATGGAATTTTATAAGTTTTTCTCTCTCTCGCGCGCGTGAAACATGGTGATTATTTTGACGACTACTTTCATTTTGCATGTGCTTCATGCTGTTGTTTTTGTATAAACTGCTTTGTAATTTACACTATAAATAGATATATGAAAGCGTTTACGCCATTTTCCCTATTAATGTTCTATCAAAATAACATGATCAAGTTTTAATTGTTATGGGGACCGTTGCAAAGTTCTTTCCAACTGACCCTATAGTTAGCATGGTGTATTTAAATTGAATGCAATTGCATATAAAGTTTAAACAAAATCAAACGGAGATGGACCGTTTGCATCACCTCGGCGTCACCCATAAGTTATAGACCATGGCGGACATGTTTGATACATGTAACCGATCGGAAAGTGAAATGCGTTATACCTACATTGTACCTAAGCTCATGTGAAGGTTCATAGAATCCATATGAAGATATGAGGATGCTGCTGCTGCTGATGATGATGATGATGATGTAGCAAATTAGGAAGAAATAGAAAAGGAAAATGAAGGTGTTGCACATATGTTAGAAATGTTTTAAGCAACTTTAACCCTCTTATTCCTTTGAAAGTACTTATGTAAGTGTTTCCTTTGTTGGTCGATCGAGTCTGAGTTCAAACTACCGACCCCCCTCCCCACTGTGTGTCTTTGTTTGTGTGTTTGTTTATTATTCATTTTTCGTTTTGTATTTTATAAATTCATCTATTTTTCAACACAAGATAAAACAGATCTAGATCATGTGATGTGCAGTGCATTTGGTGAAAAAATGAACCATATATTTGCACCAGAGTTACACCTACAAAGGGCAATCCGACCCGATACGGAGATGTTTGACTGTTAAAAAAATTAGGCTTGCTTAGCATTTTACTTGTGCTCGAAATTTGAATTTTCAAATCTAATTTGTTCAAAATTCGTTTGTCTGATGCGAGAAAAACATAATAAACCAAACAGCACCTGTCGTCGACCCAGTGCCGTCGCGTAGACAATCTGCAAGGAATATACTATCTTGAACGTGCCCGATGACATGGTTATCACGCGCTGTGTTCCTGTGGTGTTTGTTTCTTAATTCACAATAAAGTTTTTTTCTGTAGAAAATTAGAATTTTCGTTGTTTTTTCATTTATTTCATCACAGGAAAATAATTTTTGACACCAACGAAGGACATAATCTGCAGACAATGGCAAAGGGATACGCGATTGGATCACGTACAAATATCTTTTACAGTAATGTATTTGAGTGTGCCCGTTTGGTAGCATTCTCAAAATCCGAGAGCTCCCCTCACTTAACATATATCTTGTCTAGAGTATGTCATAACAAAATCGAAGGCTCACAGTAAGCTATTTGTTCGGTTTGGTGTAAAAACAAATGCTTCGCAATCACTAGGCTGATGCTTGTCCTTTGAAGATGACAGTGGCGCCCCAACCAGCTTCAAAGCCTGCTGATTTTACCGTTACGTTGCCACGCGATTCTTTTGATCTTTATCAAAGACATGAGACCTATCTTCTTATCATCCGCTAGGCCATTTTGCCATGACGTACTTCAGGTGTGCAGAGGAGATATTTATATCGAGAGCAGGATTCTTGGATTACGAGAGTGTTTAGGAGGTGAATTTGTCTTTGCATGAAATTTAGAAGCTTGTTTCTTTCGAGAGTACATCGGCAGCGATGTATTTCAGAGAGCATCGCTGTAAGTGAACAGGTAAATATGAGTCGAGCAGAGTGCCGAATTGACAACCACGAGCTGCTGTAAATTAAATAGAATGATTAATCACTCAAATGTCAATTTTACCGTGCGGCATTTGATATATTTTAGAGTACAAAAGTGACAGGTTATATTAATTTGATTTGTGAGATGAACAAAATGATTCACACACAGGGCATGAACTATTTTTCTTATCTGGTTTATCAATGTTGTATGAGTATTATCAAATATACACTTATCTACTGGCATGATATTATATTAATCTGGCCTTTTTTGAATTGCATAAAGGTTCATATAACACGACCAATTAAGTGTTTATGCGTGACGTTTCGATGACAAGCACGATATGTTATCGCTTATCATCATCAGACAAATGTAAAGCGTACATTTACATCAAATTTATTTACTTTATAACAACCATAAATATTTACTTTTTATTACATTTTATTTTATTATCTTTTGATGGCTCGGATGTTAGCGTGCGGGAGTGGGGTCATAATGGGAGGCACCCGCTTATCCGAAGTAAACTGACGTACAGGTGACCCAATTCCATTACATGCCCGACCTGGTAATCGAACCCCGACCGTCTTGGTGAAAGACGAGTGCATTATCCACTACGCCACTCGACCACCCATACAAGTAGTGTTTTATATAACTAAGTTAATAATCACTTTACATGTATTCGTCTGATGAAGTTGATATAGTCCATATCGCACTAGTCGTCGAAGTGCTATATAAGATTGTTTACATATACTCAGGTAAACATTCCGTAAAATATACATTACATAAACATATACAAAGGCTGCGGGTCCGAGAGCTTATGTTCGAGTCGCCAGGTATTGACAGCCGGTTGGTGGGTTTTTCTCCGGGTACTCAGTTTTCTTCAACCACCAAAACGTGGGCCGTCTTTAAATGACCAAGCCAAGCCATCCTGCCTAACATAACAGAGTATTTAATTCGTTAATGTTTGAGAATATTAGAATTATTAATAAAACTATTAATTAGAGGTTCTTATATACCGCTTTATCACAACCTAGTTCGTAGGTCGTCTCAAAGCGGTTCACAAATTATAATCCGTGGTTATAGGGCCTTTGCAACCAGCCAATATCTTTTTAAACTCCGTAGGGAGCATACAGCCGGTTCTCACAGCTAGCATTCTACAAATCTAGCACTGCCCAACCACGTACTCATTTACAGCTGAGTAGACTGGAACAAGCGGAGTCAAATATCTTGCTCAAAGATACAACACAGTGCCGTGAGTCGAACCCGCAACCCTTCGGTCACGAGCCCGGCGTCCTACCACTAGACTACCGTACCTCCACGGATGAGACAGATTGTCAAGAGTTTCAAAGAACCAGATTGTCACCCAAGAAATTCCAGAGGTTACGCCCTCTTACAAATGCGTTCTCTAAATTACTGCAATACTTGATGAAGAAATCAAAGCTCGGTAAGCCCGACCTTGTGGATGATTTGATCATTTGATATATATCCAAAACAATAGCATGGAAGCCGACAGTAAAATTGAAATTTTCACTCAAAGGACAGGTATCAGTCAAACGATAGGTCCGGGTTTCTGAAACCAATTTAATAGCTTTCCTCGTGCCGCCAATTCAATTATACAGTATAACATATTTCAACCTCAATACTCCAGGGGTTACGCTCACTTTTGCTATCTTCATCCCCTGAATATGTCAAAGCAAACTTGAAGTCACGCTGCAAGCTATTTGGCAATTCTGACCAATCGCTAGGCTAATACAAATGTACATGTCCTTTGAAGATTACAGAGGAGCGACACTTGACTTCAAAGGCAGCCGATTTTACCGTAACGCTACCGCGAGATTATTTTGATGTACATCAAAGTATCAAATCATCTTGTCTCAACCTAAAGATAGCGCATACTGAGCCTTCGAATGTGTCATGAAATATTCCAGGGGTGCAGTTAGCGAAAGTGAGCGTAACCCCTGGACTATCGAAGTATACCCAAGGGGCTCAGTAAACATAATAGAGCCTGACCCCGTGAATTCCGAAAAAGTTTCAGCGATACATACATTAGCGTATTCCCTATCTACATGTATATCTCTATATATTCTATATGGAATTCTAGAGGTTACGCTCGCTTCGTTTATTAGCAACCCTAGAGTATGTCATGACAAAATCGATGGCACAATGTAAGCTATTTGATTGGTGTCAGGCGGGGAAAAATGACCAATCGCTAGTCTGATACCTGTCCTTGAAGATTACGGAGGAACGAAATCCGACGTCTTAGCCTATATAGTTTACCGTTACGCTACCGCACGATTCTTTTAGCATTAAAGGATCCAAAGAAATGGCGCGTGCAGAGCCTTTGATTTCGTCATTTCATGTTACAGTGACGCAGAGAACTAAAGTGAGCGTAACCCTCGAAATTTTGAGGATGCTGTTGAGATCAAACAGAGAAAGGTCTCCAAGTCTTTAGCCAGAGAATCCGCAGACAGGGTTAGCGGGGATGGGGTTATAAACGCATACTAACAAGTCTGTCCATCTGTCTGCCTGCCTGTCTATCTGCCTCCCTGCCTGTCTGCCTCCCTGTCTATCTGCCTGCCTGCCTGCCTTCCTTTCTGTCTGTCTGCCTCTCTGTCTGCCTGCCTGCCTGCCTGCCTGTCTGCCTGTCTATCTGCATGCCTGCATGCCTGCCTGTCTACCTGCCAGCCTGTCCGCCTGCCTGTGTATCTGCCTCCCTGCCTGTCTGCCTCCCTGTCTATCTGCCTGCCTGCCTGCCTTCCTTTCTGTCTGTCTGCCTCTCTGTCTGCCTGCCTGCCTGTCTGCCTGTCTATCTGCATGCCTGCATGTCTGCCTGCCAGCCTGTCCGCCTGCCTGTGTATCTGCCTCCCTGCCTGTCTGCCTCCCTGTCTATCTGCCTGACTGCCTGCCTGCCTTCCTTTCTGTCTGTCTGCCTCTCTGTCTGCCTGCTTATATATGCCTGCCTGCTTTTCTGCCTGCTTGCCCGCTGTCTGCCTGTCTATCTGCATGCCTGTCTGTTTGTCTGCCTGCATGCCTGTCTGTCTATCTGCCTGCATGCCTGCCTGTCTGCCTGCCAGCCTGCCTGCCTGCCTGCCTGTCTGTTGTCTGCCTCCCTGCCTGTCTGCCTCCCTGTCTATCTGCCTGTCTCCATCCCTCCCTCCCTGCCTGCCTGCCTGCCTGCCTTCCTTTATGTCTGTCTGTCTGTCTGTTTATCCATGTCTGTCCCTGTCCGTCTGTCTGTCTCCGACGTCATGAGTGTGTTGATTGCTTGTCTCTTTGTGTTTCGCATTATAACTAGAATTTGATGTTATGTTACCAATCTTTCATTGTATATGTATATATATAATATTGTTTTACATAACGAAAGGACGTCGTTAATGTTTATGTAACTTGTGGCCAATACCTTTGCCGTAAATATATTTATGGCAATAAAATATGTTTAAACTAAAAACTAACAATGAATTAAAAGTGCATTTTGTCTGCATTGGGACAGTGGTCCTGAAGCCATGTTTTTTAGTAAATGTTTTTCCCCATTTTTTTATAATATTTGATTTATACTGTTCCTGTATTATTAGTTACTTAAGATTTCCTCCGTTATCTTATGATTTTTTTAAATAAACCTAATGAAAATAACTCCTCTGAATCAGAAAGGAATTGAGAATGCATACGTATCAGTAAACTGATTAGCTTTTCTTGTTTTACAGCAGAACGCTGCTGAGAGATAAGTTATAATGATCCTTTTGTAATCCTAACAATTAGTTAAGAGTTCTACTCGTACGCACACTGGAGTATTTTCGATTTATCAATGTCAATTATTTTCCCTAATTGTACAAAAATGTTCACTCAGATAGTTATGGCTCTAATTAAGAAATTGAACTTTGTACGTTAGAATACTAGTAAGGACATCGAATGATCAAACTCGTTGGGTCTTTTCGTGCGATTACATGCTTCAATGGAATATTAATGGATAATTTCAGTGCAAAGGGGTTCATCGAACCGGCGTTCTATTTTACATCGGACGTACTTCAAAAAGATGGACAGATATTTTCTTTCCAAGAAAAAATATTTTCATGTTGTAATACATCCGTACCGACAGTAAGGTTTTTTTTATCCGTTGTTGTGTTATAACGCAGGATTTGCGAGAACGCTTATTCTCAAAAGATTTTTTTTTTAAATTATATTACTTTATATACAATATCTTAAACAGTATTAACTTAACAACAATTATTTCACATTTTTTACAACTAACACTAATCACTCTTGTTGTGGGAGGAAACCAGATTACCCAGAGAAACCCCACGTGGTCGGGCGGGTCACCCCCATACTTTTTCACGTCCGATCGGGGAATCGAACCCTGGCCGCCTTTGGTGAAAGGCAAGTGCGCTATCCACTGCGCTACCCGACCACAAACACGTATAGACGTATATTCTTTCTTGACGATATAGCTTCAAAGATAGTTAGAGGTTATCATATGACGTTTTCTTAATCCAGTTCCGTATCAACACGAAACTTCTTTATCAGCTCCTGGAATTCCGGCTTTCCTCCACCACCAAAACCTGGCACGTCATGTTAATAGGATGTAAAACACAAACAAACCAAACAAACCTCATGTATCCATGCAGAGAAAATGTCTCGGTACAGCTTACAACACTTTAAGGCAGGATTGAAGAATGTATCAAAACGCAATTTAATAATATCATACATCAAATTATCAGTCTCCCATAAAGCATTTCTATTTGTAAAGGAAACAAATCGAGAAAATGGAGTGTCGGAGGGTTTACGGGACTTTGTTTAAACCAAGCAAGGTAAACTGGTCACTACCTGTACAGTGTAAACGTATTGTAATATGGAAAACATAGCGTCTTATTTTCCATATATTAATCTATTTTAATGGTCATGAAAGGACATTTCTTAATGCCCCGGTCACACATTCACGGATCAGCCGCCGTATTGGCCACGGATACGATCCGGCATCATTCGTGGCAATCTGTAGTTTCCCGTAGCTGTCCGTATTGTGTCCTGGGTCAATCGTTGTAGTACTTGAATATCCGTGACAATGTTCAACAATTCACCACGGATCAGACAACCGAAGTATATGCTTACTGATCCGTAGTAGAACGTACCAATCTGCTGTAGTACTTATTCGTAACTTACATCCCAGGCCTTTAGTCGCAAAGGGTCGGTACGATTAGTTACGATGAACTACGTCCTTCTACTAAACCGTACTAAAATTAAAATTAAGTTGTGGAATGAACACGCGAGCGCGGGAGTGTGTAAACGGATTGCTTACTTTGGTAAGTCCGTAGCGCTCTGTGCGAGTTCGTACTCATCCGTGCCAGACCGTTCAAATTCGTGTTTACCCGTACTAAAATCATAACGAACTGTTGTTAATCCGCACTGCATACGCCGTGACATGTGTGACTGTCATTCTGTACTAACACGGTGGTACTAAACCGTACCGAACCGTAGCAATCAGTATCACTCCCCGTTGTCAACCAACCCCTATACATAGTCAAACTGTGGTGCATCCGTAGCGGACCAAGAATCTAGACTATTCCGGGGTCATCTGTGAGTTTCCATCCGTAGTGGATCCGGCGAGACGATCAGTGAATGTGTAACCGGGCCATAAGATTTAGTGAACATTTGAATACAGGTAATGCTAACAGTATAATATTTAAAAAAAACGAAAGGAAAAAGAAAAAGACAGACGTGCTGTTATCGATAGTCATACACGTGTAAATTTGAGATTAAATATAATTTTAATCGAACGAATATCGAGTTCACATGCGTTCGACGGGAGATAACTCCCACAACTATTCGGACCAAAGATGCTTCTGAAGAGAAATGTAGATTTCATAATAAAAAATAAATTTGAGGTTCTTATATACCGCTTTATCACAACCTAGTTCGTAGGTCGTCTCAAAGCTGTTCTCAAATTATTATCGGTTATAGGGCATTTGCAACCAGCAAATATCTTTCTTTACTCCCTGGGGAGCATACAGCTTTTTTGGACCTAAACTAAGGTGTTCAGAGTAATTTACATGTTTTAGGGGTTTAGAACGACTTTCGGTAAAAATGACACCCCAATGATCACGTAAACGAGAAGGGAGGAAAGCTCCAAATGTCGACCTCACTTAACTTGCTTGCATCAAAAACAACATTTCTAGTTGATCTACGGGAAAATGCTTATTACCGTTGTAAAGATGGATAATTTTCCTTTTAAAAACCTCATATATGCACGTAAAATGTATTCTCCCTCCGCGGACATGAACTCCGTTTCCTTAAAAAAAGCCATTTCAGAGGTTCAAAGTTTTTCGCAGTCAGCGTGCCACTTTTTTTTAATATTAATGAGGGTTGAGGTCAGCGCGTGCCGAGACCGGTGGTGTGATTGGCTGGAAGCGCAGCCATTTTTTCGCTAAACAAACCAACACTGCATGTTTTAGCACGAACTGACATTTCACGTGCATCTATGAGGTTTTCATTTTTACCAAAAGTCGATCTAAACCCCTAAACATGCAAAATTACTCTGAACACCTTAGTTTAGGTCCAAATATATCTGCAACAAATGTTCAGGTCCCTGTTGAGCATACAGCCGGTGCTGCTATTTCGGCGCTCACAGCTAGCATTCAACAAGTCTAGCACTGCCCAACCACGTACTCATTTACAGCTGAGTAGTCTAGAACAAGCGGAGTAAATTATCTTGTTCAAAGATACAACACAATGCCGTGCCGTGAGTCGAACCCGCAACCCTTCGGTCACGAGCCCGGTGTCCTAACACTAGACTAGCGTGCCGTTATGCAATTTTGTTGTGATTATCGAGGAGATGTTTTTCACCGTCTGGCGGATATTTTTTAAGGCCGTTATATGTGTATGTCCTCAATCAGACACCGTATACATGTGGCATTCAATCAATGAAAAACTTCATACATTTAAAATAAAGTTTGAAACAAATCAGATCAGCAGAGCTTAGTCACTTTTGTTGGCCTTTCATGTAGTTCCCAGGGGTCGTTCATGTGCCCAGGGGCCTTTCATGTTGTGCCCAGGAGCCTTTCATGTTGTGCCCCGGGGCCGTTCATGTAGTGCCCAGGGGCCTTTCATGTTGTGTCCAGGAGCCTTTCATGTAGTCCCCAGGGGCCTTTCATGTTGTGCCCAGGGGCCTTTCATGTAGTGCCCAGGAACCGTTCATGTTGTGCCCAGGGGCCTTTCATGTTGTGCCCAGGAGCCTTTCATGTCGTGTCCAGGAGCCTTTCATGTAGTGCCCAGGGGCCTTTCATGTAGTGCCCAGGAGCCTTTCATGTTGTGCCCAGGGGCCTATATGTGAGAGAAAACCATTACGGCAACCGTCTATTTGATGCATTTATCTGTAGAAACAAAACTATTTTATTTTTATTTTGATAAAGCAGATAATCTTATCGTAAAATTGAGCAAAAAAGTATTCAAAGACATGTTCCTTTCCCATGACTGTATGTTTGCTAATTACTTGCTAAATAGATTTTTTATATTGGTCCTTTATCAAAGGAACCATTCTGTTTTAATACGGGTATTTTTAAGTCTGGATCTGCTGATATCGTAACAACAGCATAGTTCCTGGATTAGCACATACGAAAATAATGAGAGGATAACGTATAAATCTTACCCTTTTTATGCCAAAAAGCCACGGGAATGAGGATTTTCTTTTGCATAAACAAGTAATTAAATATTGCTGAGTCATCAGTGTATCGATTTCTACTTTCCTTGTTTTGCACATTTCTTAGAAATTTCAGCATGTTTTTTATTTAAATGACTTTGAAGATTCATATTAACATTTCATCAATAATGCAGATGAAACAAAAATTAACACTTTTGAAAATTGACTGACAAATTTTATCCGATTTTTAAAAAATGAAAATATTAATAGCATCGATTCTTAAAATTGTTATACCTCGAAAACGAATTACAAAGAATGCATGAAATTGTTTTCAGATAATTATTTAGAAACGTACCAATGTCGGTAGAATTAGCCTCAAAAAATTACAACGAAAAAAACAAGGTAAAAATGCATGAAATTTAGAATATA